TGCTAGCTGAGATCAAAGTAGACATAAAAAGGAATGGGTGTTTGGGGAAAAGAATATGTTTCTCTTTCCCTTAATGGGATTTCCTCAGACACATGCTTCAGCAATCAGATTTACAAATTCAGCTTGTGATGATCTTCCAGTGGCCAGAGATGAAACAAAGCATACTGGACTGGCATGGTACAGAGGTGCGGCAAAATATGTGCACATTTTTACCACTTTGTGGTGTGTAGAATTATCCACGTTAGCATGAGTAACCTCACAATAACAGCCTTTTTTGGAATAGCCAAGGGATTCTGCCAGTAGTGAGATCCAGCAGTCTGAGATTTACAGACAAGAGAAGGTGAGCAAGGTAAAACATTTCCCAGTTAAGAAGATTTACCTTTCATTTTAATTGGGATTAATGGAGGTGAGCCTTTCGTGAGTACTTCAGTAGTGTCCTTTGTCATGAGCATACTCTGTAAGAAGTGAAAAATTACTGTCAGCCTACCTGTGTGCCCCCTCAGTGAACATGAGACTGTGTGAAAAGCAGGTCCCTGTCCGCAGGCAAGAAATCTCTGGAGCCTCACTGATCCAAGATAATGTGGTGACACAGAGTTGGCGCTGTTTTGTGTATTGCTTTATCAGCTATAGTAGAAAGGCCACAAATGCCTCAGTTTTCCTTTATAAGGAATTGAATCTGCATCTTTACAAATGCCACACTTCCTATAGGTGGACTGCCCCGTCTAACTTGGGAACAAGAAATGTTGAGTGATTATTGAAGGAGAAAATGTTTGACTTTGTTGAACCGATAAAGATGGTTTTTCTGGTTGGCCAGAGAAGATGGCATGTGTGCTGGAGCAGTTTTATTCATAATTATACTAAGTTGTATTTTTCAGTAGTTCTTGTCAAATGCTTATTTGTACATCTCTCATATAAATGAGTTAATATACATCCCAAACGTGCAGAAAGTTCACTTAAATTTTACTCAAGCACCTAGTGCTCCCAAGTTTTAAGTCATCCGGTTTCTACATTTCTTGTTCATTGTAAAAACCTCCGAACGTTTGGGAGTGAGCTGTTCTTTAGATTTGGCGGTTATGTTCCATTTTTATTTGTGTTCTCATTTTACAGTCTTTAAATCATCAGTACTGCTTCGGGGAAGGGCTGGTGGGAAGGTTTGGGAAAGAATATATTTCCCTAATGACTATTTTTTCTTTTTTCTTTCTTTTTTTTTTGAAACTTAAAAAAACTTTGATTTAACAGATATTAATAAAAAAGAACGTACCTGAAAAAATAGCAACACAAAACAACATAAAGCAATTATACAAAAAGTGCTCCTCCCCCCATACTGGGACCATTTAAGAGATATAAGTTAACTTTCTTCCTTTTATGGAGCCCCATTCCCCTTCCAGAATTGCATTGATTCTTGTGAAGGTGCACCTTCCCCTTTATTAATACTAAATCAATAAATTCTCCCCAAATATCTATTAAATATTCTTATTCATCAAAGCCTTTTTACTTTAATATTACACATTAATACCATGTTTCCCCGAAAATAAGACAGGGTCTTCTATTAATTTTTGCCCCCCAAAATGCAGTAGGGCTTATTTTCAGGGAATGTTTTATGTACAAGAGTCTACATTTATTCAAATACAGTCATGTCATCTTCTTCTGGTTGCAGCATAATGGTGGAGGGCCTGGTTTCACTTAACTGGGGCTTATTAAATTTTTTATAAATTTCTAATAAAATTTTAATAAATTTCAGATTAATTCTTTCATTGTCAGTTCCCATTGCTCCTTATCAAATATTGATAAAACCGCCATCTTAGGATATACCTCTATATTTAACTTAGTTATTTCATTTATTCCCTTGAAAGCCATCTGCCAAAACGTCAACATATTCTCATATTTCCACCGTGTATGAAAATAAATACTTTCTGACATCTGTTCCAACACAACGTAGAATAATTTGTATCTATTTCGCTTTACACTGAAGTAAAATGCCATTTCCAAACTAACTTACAAAAATATTCCTTTAGCCTTAAATAATAACGATATTACACTCAGAAGTGGTTTACCGATCCCTTCTTTTGGGGGTGCCCTGGGACTGTGCAGCTTCCCCAAGGCTACATAGCCTGGCTCTACTCTTAGGAGGAACAGTGGGAATCAAACTCCCAACGTCTGGGACTACCTAAACCACTGAGCTATCCAGCCAGCTTCCTTTAACTGGACATGGATGTCAGTATTCTTTTATCCCTTATATTATTCCAAACCTAAGCACTTATCTCTTCTCCCAAGTCATGTTCCCATAATGTTTTAAGAAAATCTTGATGGTCTTCTGCTTCTATTAAAATTTTGTAAATTTCACATATCCCTTCTGTTATCTTGTTTTCAACTCTGTTTCCCTTCTGTAGTACCATTTCTTCAAAACTCATAAGAACATTTACCATTTCTTTTTAGCTAAAAGAATACTCTAATTGAATACGATTAAACCAAGATATTGTCTCCATCCCTAATACTGCTTTCATTTTCTCTTTATTCCCCATTTTTTCTAACCAATCTTTTATCATAATTTGTGTCTTTCTAAATTCTTATATTTTGTTTCAAATTTTCTGGAAATTTCTCTAACTGTACTATTGAGTATAATGAGGAAATTGATGGAATAAATATTTTTCTATACTTATACCAAATTAAAAGCACTTCTAAGGGATTTTCTTTAAAAAATTACAATACTTTTATTATGCTGTATAAAAAGAAGATTCTCAGGCTTCCAATGAAATTCTTGAAATTCCATATTTAACCATTTTTAACATACCTCTAATGTACAGCCCTGCTGGGTGGGACTCTGCCTCTCTCTTGTGTGCGACTCTGCCCCCCTTACATGCAGGGTTCCATTGCAACCGGAACTAAAGGGGTTGAAAATGAAAGCTGCACCGAGGGAGTTGGAGTCAGGCGTGAAGCTTAGAGAAAACATTGATATCAAGTGTATGTCTTACTTAGTTAGTTATATAGTATAACCTTAAATTAGAAAGACCGAACTGTCCTACTTTTTGAGATTAATCTCTTCTTACTAATCTTTGCTTTTTTTATCTCCACTGCAAAATTTATTTATCATATTTTGCCAGTCTTTCAACTGTTCTTCAGTTGTCTTTATTGGTAAAATTATGAATAGAAAATTTCTCAGATAAAATCTTCATTTTACAAACCATGAAAGTCTAATTTATGGATTTTATCCTATCCTTAAGCATTAATGGGTTTTCCTATTGTTAATAAAGTATCATCAGCAAATAGGCTGATTTTTACTCTGTCTTTATATCTAGGCTGAAAATTAATTTATCTTCTCTTAACATTTGCCCACAGTTCTATAACTAAAGCAAACAATATCAGAGAAAGGAGACATCCTTATCTGGTTCTGTGGCCTAGGGAGTATCTGTTACACTATCATTTACTGACACTGTTGCAGTATTTTCAGACTTAGTAGGCATCCTTCAGTCTCGAAAGACTATGGTATCGTGCTCTGTATGGAGGACTTGGAACAGCGTCTAGTGTGGCTGAGGAGGCCAATTCGAGAGTGACAATCCCTTCCACACTGGAGACAAATCCAATCTGTCCCCTGTCCAGCTCCCTGGTTTTGCTTCCTTTGTGACTTCCTCTTTGCCTCAGCCTGCTGGACAAGGGTCTCTTCAAATTGGGAGAGGCCGTGATGGAGCTGGGACAAGTGACGGGAGCTCACTCCATCGTGTGGATTCGAATTGCTGATCTTTTGACATTACAGCCCAGAAGCTTTTTGCAGTTTAATCGCAGCGCCACCACATCCACCTGAACTATCATCGTCGTTGTTTAGCCGTTTAGTCGTGTCTGGCTCTTCATGACCCCATGGACCAGAGCACGCCAGGCCCTCCTGTCTTCTACTGCCTCCCGGAGTTGTGTCAAATTCATGTTGGTTGCTTCGCAGACACTGTCCAGCCATCTCATCCTCGGTTGTCCCCTTCTCCTCTTGTCATCACACTTTCCTAACATCAGGGTCTTTTCCAGGGAGTCTTTTCTTCTCATTAGATGGCCAAAGTACTGGAGCCTCAGCTTCAGGATATGTCCTTCCAGTGAGCACTCAGGGTTGATTTCCTTTAGAACTATCATACCTTTACATAATTCCCCAAACCTAATGTTTTTCTTTGCATTTTTAGTATTGGGCATTCCACACAATCAAATGCCTTGAAAATCTTTATTATATTTAACACTCCCCAAATCTACCATTTGTCTACCTATTATGAACCTGCATTGGTTGTCTTTAATATATTTAGCAATCAACCTATTCATTCTTTTTGCTAATATTGCTATAACTATCATAGCATCTTGATTTATCGAGGAAATAGGTCTGTAAGCTCCAGGATCAGTTGGATTCTTGTTTGCTTTTGAAACTAGTATAATTAATGAGTTTTAAAGATAATGGAATCTCTTCCCCCCCTCCATTATTTTATTAAAAAGAGACTTTAATTTAGCTACCAACATTTTCTTAAAATTATTATGATACCCTGGTGGGCACAAACAACCACTTTGTGTCAGTTGGTCCTTTAGACAAAGAGGTGTTCAGTGCTTCCCAGCCCCGCCTCCTCTGGCAGGTGTCCACTCAGAGGAAGTGCCCGGAGGAGGCGAGGCAGGGAAGCCAGGATGCTGTTTCTGAGTGGGTGCTCCCTAGATAAGGAGGCAGGGTTGGGAACTGCTGAATGCCTGTCTACTCAGGTCACAACTCATCTGTTCCTGGCGTCTTTCCTACTTTTAATTTATTAATAATTTCTTCGATCTCTTTCCCTCACGGCTCTTCAGAGTGGGGTGGGCAGACCTTTCTTGAATGTTAGTCCAACTGTCTGCCCACCTCCAGGGTAGGTATGTGTGTATGCCTATGCATGTTTATTGCCATGGGCACAGTCCTTAACTACATTAGTTCCCATGAGCAAGAATGTATGTTCCCACCATTTTGTACTTCTCAAATCTTGGTACGATAAGCAGTGTCTCTTCTGCTTCAGCATTCGGCGATGGATTTTGGGGACGTGCCAGATAAACAAAAAAATCAGGAAACCACAGAATCGGTTAAAAGGCAGCGAGAACAAATGGATGAGGCCAGTCTGGCCACCACCCTCCAGCATATTGTGGGGCAGCTAGATGTTCTTACCCAGGTATTTATTATGTATTTATTTTATTTGTTTGTTGTTTCATTTTGATATGCCACACCCGTTAGTGCCACAGCATGGTATGGAACAATCTGTGGAGTCTTGTGGAAACAGTAGTTCAAAAACGTATCTAAATGCACAGCCTGTCATGTTACCTGTTGTTGTTTTTACTGGATCTATATTTGACAAGTAACAAAATTCTTTATAACATTCAAAAAATAGAAACTTAAGAAACTTCACATTTTGTATCCATTTGTGTTTTACATTGCAACTTACAAGTTTCTTTGTGGTGGCATTTGGCATTAAAATATGGATGTGGAGGAAGGCAATTCCTTTCTCTTGTTCCTATATTTAGGACAAATTTCACAGTAGTGGCTGTTTTACACCAAATATAAAGAAGAGCATCTTTGTAACTGGTATTTATTTATTTATTTATTTATTTATTTATTTATTTATTTATTTATTTAATTAATACCCCGCCTATCTGGTCAATATGACCACTCTAGGCAGCTACTTACCATTCTCTGGCAAGTATCCTGTGGATAGTACCAGAGAATGACCAGCAGAGGGACCTAAAATACAGCATGCTAATATTAAAGGAGAGGTTGTGCTGCTCATGGTAGTTCCAAATCTCTCTCAACTTCATAGTTTGGCTTTTAAAGGAAGTCTTTAAATGTGGGTATTCATCATTCACAGGAGTCTTAAGGATGATTAAGAAGAGCTTTATTGCCAGATGCTATTTTATTGCTTGATTTCTGAAATTTCACATCAGTAAGGGTGGTTTTGCATCATCCTGCTGAATATTTCCCTCTGTTGTCAGTACTTTCCCACACACAGTAAAGCAGTAATTTTAATATATATGGAGAAGTGACAGCCAGATTTTAGCTTGTGATATGAACGGTGGCGACTCTAGATCTTTTGGGGTGTGTTGGGCTTTCTTTACAGCCCCCTATAAAACAAACATATTACACTCCAGTGTAACCAAGAAACAACCTGGGGCATGGCTAGACACACATGCCATCTCCATTAATTCTCATGGGCCAGAATCCTGTGACATACTCATACCAGTGTAAGTCCATTGGTATATACAGTATGTTAGTGGTGAATTTCCATTAGTTCAGAAGTTGGCATTCACATTCGGTGTTGTCATACCAGTCGTGTGATTTGGTGCACAACACCTCATGCAAGCACCACTGAGATTTTCACTGATAGATTTAGGTTTGTGTATTTTTCCATTGAATTTTAGCCACTGGTTCCTGTTTTTTTTTTTGTGAGGGCAAGCAAGAGCTTCTGTTACTCTGGGCACATGGGTTTGCTGGAAAGGAAGTCATTCCTATTCCAGTGGTGTCCCCTGGTGTGATGGCCATGTGCTCTCTTTCTTATAAGTGGGTGCCTTCCATTCATTTCTTTGGAACAGGGTAAGGCACCAAATGGAATCATGCTGCAGTGGAGGCAGAATGGCCATCATCCGAGACACCAGACAGAGTAGCCGGTACTGATGGAAAGCCGCCTCCTCTCCCTTCAGAGTTGCACTTGTATTTCAGGGTGTGTTTCCAAATATACTGCTGCCACCTCCAAACAGATATTTGGGGAAGTGTGACCCCCCCTCCCTTTACCAAATGCACCCTGCTCAGTTTGGGAATCGGGAATGTATGGGTGACTGGAGACCACGTTTGAATAGACTGAATGAAAGAGGTTTGGAAAAACAGAACAATTCTCACATCTTACTCTGCCTATGGCAGCAGTGCCAAGGCACAGAGAAGGATGGCAGGAATGGAGTGTAATTCTCCATGCCTGCAGAGCAAATTTGAAGGCCCTTTAGCTACTGTACAGTTGCAGACCATGTTTTCCTGACTCACAGACCATTTCAAAAGGGCAGGTTTATGGCTTTGCATTGCGAAGTCTTAGATAGACATTAATCCCAAAGCTACAGAATAACCTCAGTTAATGTCTATAAATTGTATAGAATGGAGATGTCCAGCAAAAAAAAAAAATCTATACAATTTATAATTAAGTAAAACCAATTTTCTTTGGTTTACCACACTGTTCCACTTATGTTTTAGGCCAACATCATATGTTTCAATGCAGACATTTTGCAATGTCTTTGTGTGACTTTTATGTTCTTATGGTTTTGTTCTGATATAAATCTCTGTTGGGAATTGAAAATGGTTTATAAACATAGACTATATTCATGATGTTGTGGTGCTGTCTAGTCCTGCACATGTTATTCAGATGTAAATCAGAATTCAGCTTTAATAGATTAGTCTTAAATTGTAGAGTTACAGCACCTTTGTACATTTGTCTTTCTCATTTTGCAGACTGTTTCCATTCTGGAACAGAGATTAACCTTAACAGAAGACAAGCTGAAGGAGTGTCTTGAGAATCAACAAAAGATTGCTCAGAATAAATCCAACTGATTCCCCAAGAAACTTGTGAAGCTAGCATTGCTTGGCTGCAAATCTGTGTGCATTCTAAGGATTTCATGTGAATATTTTAAATGAAATATTTCCTATTTTATTAGAATAAATTGTACATCTAACAGTGTGTGTAAATAGATTTTGTTAAGATTAAAGTTTCTTACTAAAAAGTGGCCTCTTGTGATTACTGTCAATACTTTATGTGTTGAAGTGTTGAGATCTTCAATTTGAAATAATAGTGTCCCTTTTCAGAGCTGCTTTTTTGAGAATTAGACACCCTTGTTCTTGAAAAGACAAGCTTCTAGTACAGTATTTACCAGAGGAAATGTTGGAATACTCTGTACAGGTCCATACATGCATACAAGAATACCATAGGACTGTTCTCTTCCAACACAGAGGAGTTCTGCATTCCAAATGAACTGCAAAAAAGCAGACATGTGACTCACACTTTTTGGGAGATTCCTTCCTGCAATCTTAAGAGCAGAACAACATCCTCAAATCTGAGTATCACTTGTAGAAAGAGGTCCCAGGCAGAATCTTTGTGTATCCTTTTTTCAATATGATAGAACTTAAAATAACATAGTTGACTAGTTAGGGGAAATACACCAGCAAATTAGATCCAGATTGGGTCCTAATTAATCTCAACATTAGCATCAGAAATTTGAGATTACTTTTTTCCATGCATGCTTGCATCTGTACTAAATTTGCATGGTGTTCATGATCACAGTTTTGTTTTGCCCTAATCACACTTTTCTCATACTTCTGTTACTGGCACAAGATGCACAGTCACGTTACATACTTGGGGTCCCTATTGTGATGTATCTTTAGTGCTACGAAACAGGCCAGCTTTCCTTGTAAAACTTAGAAAAGTTTTTTCCCCTATTCCAGCTCCCAGAATTCCTAACCTCTGAACTTCCTGTGCTAGCAAAGTTGGTTCAGAAGTTTGGAGTCATATGGCAGGCGTCCTATAACAGTGCTGACCCTTCTGGAAGTTGGGGCAATGCTAGCATGGGAGGGAGCCACGTCGTGGACTTGTGCTACGTGACACCAGACATCTAATAGTTTTTCAAGCATCATGCAGGAGTGATGGTCTTGCTTGCTTAGATATTCAAATCCTCTTGGTTCTTACTGAAGAGGGTAACTCCAAAAGATATACCTGTGTCGCTATACCTATTTTGGACGCCCAGACATTCAAATCTGTCTCTCACTAACTTCCCCTCCCTCTTCATGTGCTAGAACCAGATTTCTCCCTCTTTCCCTCTTTTCTATAAGAAACCATCTGTGTTTAACTGAGACATTAAGATTTTTTATTTCCATTTGGAAGCATCCTCACAACCACTCCTGACTTCATTTGCTAGTTCTGTCATTTAAAAAAAATATCCTCATCTCCTTCTACTAGACTGTATTCTGACTATCTTGGAAAGTCTGTTAGGAGCTACAGGTTATTTTTCATCTTGGACTGGCAAGTGAGGAAAGAGAAAATGTGTTCCATGCTTTGTTTTTGGAGGTAAGTTCTTTTATTACTTTGCCCAAGGGTCTCTGTACCAAGATTTTCTGGTATGAGCCTTAGCTGCATCTCTCTTATCTAGGTTTAATCCTTTTGTTAGCTGTGTTCTCTTCACATTCCCATGCTATGTGTCAATATAGCATTCACGGTTAGAAAGAATTTGAAATAAAAACAAGGATTTACATAGGAAGAGAACAGTGAGAAAGCAAGGATGTAGCATCTTGACATTCCATTTTGAGCAGGATCAGCTAACCTACTCCCACTGCTTTTGTACTTTCCAGGCTCATATTGGGCTAGTTCAATGGTCCCCAGCTTTGGGTAGCCCAAATGTTCTTGGACTATATTTCCCAGAAGCCTTCACCACCAGCTGTGCTGGCTGGGGTTTCAGGGGGTTGCAGTCCAAGAACATCTCGGTTACCCAAGGTTGGGTTACCCAAGCTAGTTAATCATCTGCGCGTCCATCAATGTGCTAGTTGTTGTTAAGTCGTGTCTGACTCTTCGTGACCCCATGGACCAGAGCACGCCAGGCCCTCCTGTCTTCCACTGCCTCCCAGAGTTTGCTAGCACGCAACCTTAATCACTCACTCCTTTTCTACCCTAAATGGTGAGCCAGAATCTTACGGAGATGGTCTTCAAAAGGGAAAACTTATTATGCAATGTGGTCGTTAGCAGTTACCACCAGAACATGTATGTGTATACAAGACGGCAGACTACTTGGGTAAAAATTCGAAAAAAATCTTTGTGCAGAGGGAAAGATACATTTTTTACTCCTTGCACTTTAAATTTTCCGAAGAATGAAACTTCTGTGCTGGTCATCTTACAAAACTACTAGTTTGGGAAGCAAACCACTAGATCGATGGAAAAGATTTAAGTTGCAGACTCCCAAGTTTCTAAATTGTGAGTTTCCCAACGTTGCAAGCTCTGCTTAGTTCAGGGATTTCAGTCTGTATGGCTTTGATGGCAGCGGAGATGATAAAGGGTTAAGGACTGTGTCTGGAACTCCTTGGCAATCCCTGAGCCAAGTTCCTAAAAAAAGCAGTTTAATTTGTTGCCATTAGGCTTGCCAAACATATGACCTCACTAAAGTTTTTAGTAACAGCTCTTTTTACTCAGATTGCTCCCTAGGGGAGCTACATATGCCAGAGGACTGAAGCAAAGGGAGTTTTCTTTTTCTTTTTTTCCTTTTGCTTGTTACGGACATGGAACATGTTAAAACATACTTGTATACTGTGCTGGGGAGGGCGGGAAAACACTCTTTACGCAATGCCCACTTTCCTTCCTGTCTGGGAGTTTAAATCGAGGCAGTAGCTTGGTTAATTCATGATTGTTGGAGAGGAAAATATGCATATACAGTGCTAAAGAAGTGATGATGATGAGCTGCAGGTCTAATGTCCGGCACAGACAGGCCCTGTTCCCCTTCTCCCAGCGACTGTATTATCAGTCTATGACCAGGCCCACATTTTGTGCAGATTCGATTATTTTCATCTTCCAAAAATAATGTTTTTGTGTCCTTTAGATCGAGTAGAACAAGTGTATGCTGCTTTGCTTTTTTAAAGCCATATCCCCCCCTTTTTTTTTCCATTCATAATAAGTAAAAAGAGCTGCTTCTCCAAGCTGTTCTGAAGATCCAGCTTAGGGAAGTCTGATGGATCAAAGAAGACTTGTGGGCTCTAAATATTGTGGACTGGAAATTAGGGCCACGTGACTCATACCTTGGTAACTGAACATTGCCTGACAGTTAAATGCCTGGATTCCTTCTTTGTTTCACAGTCACAAAAGAGTAACTTAGAGCAAGTCTATTTATAATCTTTAGATGGATGCCTCCATTTTCTCCCGTTCCAATGACAGCAAAAGTGAGGCACGTAAAGATTAAAAATAGATTTACATAGGGATGGCAAGCATTGCGGTATAATATAATGAGCCTCTGCATTTGCATAGCCATAAATGAAAATAAATAAATTTATTGTCATTGTAAGTATATACTGTACACAGTATACACATATGAAATTCACACAGACACCCAGAGACTAGACCCACATGCACACACATAACAAATCCCCAAACACTCCCCACCCACTAAAAATCCCCCACATGCTTTGTGTATTACAGTACTAAACATGGTCTATACTGTAGCTGCAGGAGTGACAGGAGTAACCAGTAGCTCAGTGTGGCTGGACCAGTTGACCTTTAAAGAACAGTCTTCAAAATATAAATTTCACCTCTGCCGAACTGGGGTGTGTGAGAGAGAATTTGCTATAGAAATGCAATTTGATTCCCTTCACTTGTTTCGGTCCACAAAGGATCAGCCAGTCACTTCCTATGACCTGCCAATTACTTCCTGTTTCTTAAAAAAAGGCTTTTTCTTGCTGTAAATGGGTCTGGAGTGCAAAATTATATTTGAAGGCAAATTAGGGCTACATAGAGATTTCTGGGAAGGCGACTTGCCATTGTAGGGCTTTTCCCCATAAGGTTTGTGGAATGCAGCATTCCAAAGTATCAGGACTGACAATAAAGGTCCCTTAGGATGCACTAAAAACTAAGATCATGGCCACTAGTCCCATCACCTCTGGACAAATAGAAGGGGAAGATATGGAGGCAGTGACAGATTTTACTTTCTTTGGCTTCATGATCACTGCAGATGGTGACAGCAGCCACGAAAGTAAAAGACGCCTGCTTCTTGGGAGGAAAGCGATGACAAACCTAGACAGCATCTTAAAAAGCAGAGACCTCACCTTGCTGACAAAAGTCCACGTAGTCAAAGCAATGGCTTCTCCTGTAGCGATGTACAGAAGTGAGAACTGGACTGTAAAGAAAGCTGATCGCCAAAGAATTGATGCCTTTGAATTGTGGTGCTGGAGGAGACTCTTGAGAGTCCCCTTGGACTGCAAGGAGAACCAACCTATCCATTCTAAAGGAAATCAACCCTGAGTGCTCATTCGAAGAACAGATCTTGAAGCTGAGGCTCCAATACTTTGGCCATCTCATGAGAAGAGCCTAATGTTAGGAAAGTGTGAAGGCAAGAGAAGAAGGGGATGACAAAGGATGAGATGGTTGGACAGTGTCATCAAAGTGACCAACATGAATTTGACCAAACTCCGGGAGGCAGTGGAAGACAGGAGGGCCTGGCATGCTCTGGTCCATGGGGTCACGAAGAGTCGGACATGACTTAATGACTAAACAACAACAAGAATGCTCAGAAAATGTCCATCACTATCTGCATGAACTGAGTTCAGAATTTTAATCTCATTTCAGATGAAATAGAGGATTTGTTTCCTTGTCTAGCCATAAACACAGGAAATGGCTATGTTTTACTGAAATGCAATTGATAAGATTGCATACAAAGGTGAGAAAATGATGGTTGTTGTGGGGTTTTCCCACAACAACCATTCTAGAGCTTTACTCCTCTCTTCTCCGACACACTGCTCTGCCCAACAGCCATTCCCTCAGTTCCTTTCAAACTGGTGTTAGTGCAGCTTTTTGGGAATGTTTGGAACTTCCTTACTTTGCTATTTGACTGTATATATTTCTTAACTTTCTCTTCCCGCTTATTCCATGTAACTTTGAACCCAAAATTTGGCCTAGACCGGCTCCAAGACCTCCTCTGAGCCTCTGCTTGTCACACCCCATGATATGGCCA